AAGGATCTTCCAAATCAACAACTGGGACTTGGTTTGGGCAGGTGTTGTATTGACCTTGTGGGACAAGTGGGGATCTGGATATCCAATCATGCCCAAACATCATTTGCGGGATACTGAAAGCACTTGGTGGAGATGTGAGGGGCAGTAACCAATAGGCGAGTCGATTCTCCTCAAACTTGTGCTTGAGGCACCTTCAGAAGCAACATGTCTGAAAGATTTTCTAGAAGGGACAAAACATATGTAGGCAAATGCTGGTATGCCCTACTAGACCAATTTTGGTCTCGTATGATGTCAATCAAACCCAGATAAGCAATTTCAAATATCATTTCAATTGGATCAACATAGACGGAATCAGCTGCATCCCAGTTGCTGCATGCTAGGCCCCAGCCTTGGCAACAAACGAGGATGGGGACGCGCTGCCCAACACTTTGCTTGTTCTGACACTGACCTTAAGCTTCGTGATTAGTTGGACCTGCAAAAACCAACACTTTCTATGCTGTAAACCACGCTGGTTCTTAAGGTGTTCCAGAACCTGCTTAGGGTCTTGTGACATGTTAACCCGGCACGAACATCACGGTCAACCTGAGGCCGCTACACCACCTGGGCCATACACCACCTGGTCATCACATTGACTACCAAACTACCGTGTGATACCGTGTGCCATTTGAGTACCCTCTGGTCTGGGTATCAAGCGATCGCTTGGGCCATCGCAGCATCCTCGTCTCGAACCAACACCCCAACAGCCTCATCACAGACGACCAGCTGGCTGCAAAGGCTTTCTTGTGCTGGGTGCCCTGGCATCTTCTCATAGAGCTTTGGGGAGTCCAAGACGTCATAGGTGTTCGCCTGGTGTTTCGAGTGAAAAGAGTAGTTGAGTGAAGAGAGTGGTCAGAATGGGTGGAACCACCCCAGCGAGAAACAAAAGGAGGTTCAAACACAAACGCAAACCTTGGCCCATGGGGCCCATGACTGTGGGTTGCTATCTTAGGGATGGGCAGCTATAAAGACTGTGGAAAGTATACCGCCGAAACCTATTGTTTTTAGGGGACTCAACCTGATAGGTTTTGAGAGAGTAGATACAACAATACTTCTTGTAGGGGCATTATTTTGAGGAGTCTCATCATAAGAGTGTCCCTACCCATGATGTGACACACAAACGGTCCAAACTGGTCGATTCTCTGCACCCGGGAGGAGGGATTTGTTCATCCTCTACTCAGTCTTGAAAGATCTTGCAAGTTTTACCTGGTAGGCCATTGTTTCAACCATATTTGGTCAGGGCCAATCAATCCAGAAAAAGTTCACAATAATTATCTCACAATGCCCACATCCACAATCTCCTCAGGTACAATCCTAGCTGCTTTCCAACCTGACACTCAAATGTCAGCACCGTTTTTAAAAGAAACACCGGTGCGGACGTTCAAGGGCACATCCACGGATGAATCATTTCCGCGGTTTGTCGGATCTTCCGACATGTAAAGGCAGCAGAAAAATATGACCACCAGTGAAGCAGGGAGGCAGGCACTGTCTTGTATTATTTGTGGCGATACTGACTTGTTCTTGGAAACTTTGCACAATCCGTCTGGATATTTAATATGTATGCAGCATGCATCAGCCAACCAACATGTGCCTGCTGATCCGCATAGGAAGTCACAGTATAGCTTAATTTGGGACCATCATGGCACATCGTGTTGTGTTTTGTTAGCTCTGTAATCCAAGATTTAATGAACGAATCCGAATCGGCAACATGCTGTGGGTGTTGAAAACAACTTTGAACATGTTTGAGAAAAACACATGAAAAGTTGTTTCCAAATGCACCACAAACTCTTTGAAACTCTTTGAACTGTTTGGAACTCTTTGAAACCGTGTGCAGTTCCATGTGCATTTCTCTTCTCAAATAATTCCCAAAGCACTACCCACTGAGGTCGAAGCGATGTTGCTCTTTGCCCCGGTCAAGGAGTTTCCAGGAAAGACCTTCCTAAGGTCCCGGCGGGGTGACCATTTGTGGGGTCACCACATCGAAAACAACCCTGTCTTCCATCAGTCTGTCGAACTACACACTTTCAAGATGCATTCGACTATACTTATGCACACAGCAAACTAATGGAGAGAAAGAAAAAGACACACAAATCCTGCACATCTCCTTTCATACAGGTTATTTCTTCAGTCTTCGTGTACAAATTCATATAAATACAGCCAGGCGGTTCGCGTGTTTGCACCACATGGGAATACCAGGCGGCCATTTCAAAGCGCCCCAGAAGATCATGCTCACCAGCGGAAGCCTCGGTTCTTCCGAAAAAGAAAACAGGCCAGGGCACCCTAAAAGGTGGAAACACCTCCCATAAAGAATTCAACAGAAGTCAATTAATCATGGATCAGCAACCACAGTGGACCGCAAAGTTGTTTGGTTCAAAGTTTGCACTTTGACTCCTGATCAAACTCTTGCCACGAAGGCCAAACTGTGTTTCACGTGGACAAACAAGTCGGTTTGTGGATTTGTGTCAAACGTGTTCGATCAATGTGCTGTCTTGCTGTTAAAGAAAGCTGTCAAATTTAGTTGATCTCCTTCTATCAAAGGGCCACCGAGAATTAGTGTACAGTTGATGTCACAAAAAGCATTCGCGGGCTCATATTTGTATGTTGCCCCTACTCCACAGAAGAAGCCCTTGCAAGCCCTTGCAAGTCCTTGGAAAAGTGGATATTCTTCTGCGCATTGAGCGCCCCTGTTGGAACTGCCAGGTTTCGGGTGCGCCAGCCGAGGTACACGCGCCAACCCAACTCACTTCGCACATTCTCCAGCTTCAGCCTGGGACGAACGACTCGAACGACGGTCTCCCGGTGAACGGCGGTGCTGTCCACGACGAAAACACACACATATCTGCGTACCATCTTGTAGCATGTGTCCGCGACATGATTTCAGATGGTGCCCAGGCTGACTGCACGAAAACGATGTCATTAAGTGAATATCTGGGTTGTTTCTCACGTCTCTAAACTCACTTGGTATCCGCGCATCTCGAACACGAGGCGCTCCAAATCATCCGTATCCCAGTCACCATCCTCAGCACTGATAACCGAAGAGATCTGCCACTCACTGACACCGGTCTGTGTCGGAAATAGGAAAGCACTCCGCATCCGCAGAACCTGGACATGAGCCTGGTTTTGGAGCCCAGTCACATGGTAGTCTCTTCCTATCAAAACAAAGGTGATGTCTGGGTTCTGGGTGTACATCCAACAAAGGTTAAGTGACCTTATAGGACCCTACCAGGGTACCTATGGGATAGTCTATAGGGTTCTTCAACCTCTGTTGGATTATACCAGCACCAACTCGACAGGCCTCCAAGTCAATGGATGACATGGAGACGAGTGACATGACCGTGCAAGGTGGTGACCTGGCCACGTATATGAGTGCTGGTATTGTACTAGTACTCTGCAGATCAACATGGGACCTCAAAACCACCGGGTTGGTATTCGGAAGTTCTGGTCGAAACCACTGGTCAGTTCTCAGGTTCCATGTTCGTTTGTGGGGGGGGTCTAGTTCACATCTTTGGACTGCCGTGCTTTAATCCGTCCTGTCCGACAGTGTGGCGATGGAGCCCACAGCAGGGGAGGTGGTGTTAAAGCGCTTGGCATGGTTGATTCTGAAGCCACCTTCGGAAATTGCCAGCATGTCAAAGTAAATCTCAAACATCCACAATTCCAACATCAGCTACACTTGGAAATGGCTGAGACTAAACGACCCCCAAAAAAAAAGGAAGATCTATATGTGCGACCGCAAAACAACAAAACATGTCAAAATTGTGAAGGCTCCATGTCTTCCTACGACTCGGACATCCAAGGCTCCATGTACGACTCGGCGAAGCCCAAACCTGACTGAGCTGGGGGAGACGATAGCCGGCAGCCAGGAACAACCTAACTACCTGCATGTCTATAGGAATCACTAGACTTTGACAGGTCAAACACCGTGAAGTTTCCTAAGTCTGAGTAGAATGTCACCCAAATATTCAATACGCATAAAAGAGTTGAACATGCAAAAATGTTAGGTCTATCTATCCCATGACCAGGGCCGGTTAGGTTGCAGGTCCTTCTTTAAACAGAGTGATACTTGTACATGTGGAAATCCAGTTGTCGCGCCGGATGTAGATGAGGAGGTCCACTGGGAAGACTAAAACCGAACAGGTGATTTGCCACATCCATGCTTCTTGGAAGGAGAATAATCATTATTGATCTTGATAAATGCATAGAGTGTGATTAACAGCACTCGTAGTTCTCTAAAGTTATCCTCCCCGTTTGCACCAAGGCATGGCCCACAGAACGCTTCGATGCTTAGCCTTTCTATATATGCTGCATGAACACTGTATGATACTTTATGTATACTCTGGCCTTTGTCAGTTGAGTGAGTTGCTCTCATCTCATCCCCAATGATTTAATTCTGACTCAAATAACATGTATATCTGGGCTCAGTCTAAGACCCCCGGTGGTTCGTATATCGGGGCCATCAGTACAATGTAAAACACCACTAGTAACAAATGAACATTCATTGCACCAGTCGCTTAGCTCATTCAGGCTCATCCTTGTCATGTAACCGGACTCAACGAGCTTTGAAGCTCCCTTCAACGAGCTCTCGACGACTCATTTGCTGCAAAATACAATAAAAGAGTCTGACAGTACCAACTCATTTGCTTTGACTTGTTTGGTATATAGATATATGATGATATATGTTGCCTCCGATTACAACTTTTTGTTTATCAAGAACTCGTAGCATGTCTCGCCTCCTTCAAGCAGCACACGCTGCATCACCGAGGGCTTCTTGACAATCTCGGCAAGACGAGAAAACTAGGACAATGTCATCGGATGACAGAGACCTTGCAACAACACAACATCTTAGACTAACCTGCATCGTCTTTTGCGTCCAAATAAAAGTTTCAGGCACCCGTTCTTGGCACGCAACATCTATGCAAGCTCTGTGAATACTTAGTCAAATTCTTATACGTTAAGAACTCCTTTTTCTCAACTCGCAAAAGCTTGTCTGCTTTCAGCACTCACCAATTCATGGTCTTCGCCCATGACTGCATGGCCTTGTGAATCAGTATCCTCCTCGACCTCTTCTGCAGCCGCGGGCTAGATGTCAAGCTCAGCCCAGTTTCAGCTGTCGTGTTCTTGTCCATCTCTGAAACAGGAGCAAATTCCAGAGTCGGCACCGAATTCAAACACAAGCGCCGTGCCAAAGCTGTCCCTACAACCTGGGAAGTTTGCTTTGAAAAAACCCAGTGACAAAAAAAAACCTTGGAATCACAAAACAAACCATGCCATGCCCTCGAAAAGGGTTTGCCTTGGCGGATTACTGGAGTCATTCACTGAGCTCTCTCTTGATCATCCGTGGGTTCTGGGTTTCACCAAGAAGGATTATAAACAAAATCACCTGATCGGCACCACCAGGCGACGCGGGCTGCTCTAGTTAGCCGCTTCTGCAGAGATAGCTTCTCTTCGTCGTCGCACTCGAAAAGGACCAAAGCCGTGTTGGCTTCGGAACTGGGTTCCACCCTGGAGATGCGCACTGGTCGACCCTGCAGAAGCTTCTTCAGCTGTGGCGTTGGGCAAGCCAGGACATGCTCCAGCTGCAAAGCCAACGACTCAACACGTCGATAGTCTCTTCGGAGAGCGAGCTCTCCTGAGCTGTGCTGATCGCGATCTAATTAGTAAGGATCATGTCAACCAATAGACAAGCGTTTGGAGTCGCCCAATTCTTGGGGGTCCCAAGGTCCGTGCATGGATCTTTTTTCAATCAAAGATCTCCTTGAACCGAGACAAAAACATGCAAGTTCTAAATGTCTCCTTCGCAAACATCCCCCAACTCTAGGCCTCCCTCAAAAGACCCCACAGGCTCCTTCCCCTTTCACTACTGGTCTGAATGGACCTCTGAGGTCCACCGGCTCATTCGTCTTGCCGTGTGTCGTTGCGGATCCACCACCAAAGCCGAGAAGATCTCCTCCACCGTCTCTGGCGGCAGATCGTCCACCACCGTGGGTGCCTTCTTCGCTCCGGCCAGCGCCTGCTGAACGAAGGGCAGAAGCGACTGGAAGGTGTGGGAAGGTGTAGGTCCCATGGGTCATATCCGTCGATTCGATACAGGGCACAACAATTAACCAATACATCACATCCTAATTACAAAATATTGAAAAGGCGGTAACGACCGGCCATCACCCAAACCAAGTGTGTCATGAAATAACATTGAACAAAACAATAACATACTAGTATCTTCCATAATACAGTAATCTGGCATACTACTGCATACTGCATACTAAAAAATACCATAAAATACACAAAATGGAGACAGCCCAGTGGTTTCCAACCATCCAAGAGGTGCACAAGGATGGTTTCACCATCCAAAACACACAAACACACGCATAGCACACTGACGAATCCGCACGAATCCGGCATTTCCCGGCCTTTCTCAAGAGAGCTTTCTGGATCTGCATCCTGTTTTGCCACTCTAAAATCCTGTCTTCTGACAACCTTGGATTTGCTTGTTTCAGACGTGGTCAAAATAAAACGTCTTCCCTAGAGGGGATGCATAGGCATAGGGGTTCATCAACATCGTCCGATCAGAACCAAGCAACTGCTGATGCCAGACCTCTTGCTGTTGCGCTACCATACCCTTTGCAGGACTCTGCAGCTGTCTTTCGCTGTTGTCCCATGGAATGAGTGCATCAGCAATCCCTGGTGTGGCGTTCAGCTCCGCTGCAAGTGAGTCCAGGTCACTCTTCAGGGAAACAGTTGGTGTCTGCGAAATCCGCGGACGCGATGCAACAAGCTGCTTCGTGCCAGTGCCAAAGGAATGGCGTGAGAGGCACAAACAGTGTCGAGCCGCAGCTTCCAACACAGGAATCAAGGGTCTGCCATATGAAGCCCGAAGCAAGTAGCAGGCCATTGCCAACACATGACGATGCAAAGGGCTTTGTCAACAAAGCCATGCAGGAAGTTGTAATGCAAATGATTTAAGTGCTTCAGTAAGAGTGTACTTACAGATCAGGTAGCTTGTTTGTTTCTTTGTCTTTGCCCCTTAGGATCTAGAATCAAGCTAGCTTGCGTGAGCCTTTTTTTTGTAAAATGAACCTCTCCAAATGAACCTCAGGGGTCCTGGAGACAGGCCACAATACCTTCTTGTTTCACCATCCATGGGAATCCATCTGGAGCAACTAGATGCCAACCATGAGGACCGTGAACACAGCTAGCTAGTAATGACAAAGCAAGCAAAGCCCCACCTGCTTGGAGGATGATGTAGCAAGCAAAGCCCCACTAACCCCCCGCGGACGGCTTGGGATAAGTGTGTAACGAGCTGCGGAAGACATATGTTTTGTCAGCAACTTGCTGGGCAAACAAGTACTGCTTGCAGCAGGTTCCAAACCAGATCGATATGTGTTCGCAGGACGCCGCCAGAACGCCTGGCTGACATTCAACATGCTAATGGTGTAGCTCTTCAGACCAAAGGAATCCATAGGACTCCATCAACAGCCAAAAAGGGTAACCCACAAAACCCAACACACTCGAAACGCACACCTTCAAAGGCGGCTCGATACGCCAGTCTTAAACGGCACCGGACGTCTGAACTCTGAGGCCTGGACCCACTTGACCTTCGGCAAAGCTTCCGCTTGTTGTCCAACGTACCAATGCAACTCCTCACCGGTGGCCTCGAATGACGTGGCGAGCGACGAGTTTTGAGGGACGTGGCGAGGGACGTCAACCTCTGAGACTCTCGGGTAAAGATCATGAAAACTCGTTGAGGGACCTTCCCCCATGTTGGTTCTTTCTATCACCAAATACATATGTCATATGTGATTGGTTCTAAACGGCCTAGGCCCTAGCCGCAAATTATTTGTTTTTGGACGTTTTCGGAAGACCCCAGTTGAGAAAACAAACGGTGGGTGTGTTGGTTCAATCACACCAGTTGCAAATGTTGCAAAGAACAAGTACAGTATCTTCATCACGGTCCTCACCTGTCAGACATGCATGATTTTCAACAAATCTGCCAGCGAGTCGCACCGCGGCACACGGGCGTCGGGACGAAGGGCGAGGCCTGTCGGGTCGTAGGGAAGTCACGATTTGTTGAAGGACGACTTTGCTTGAATTCACGAATTTGTAACTATCTATGTGCTGACAACCACGATGCACTGCAAGAAAAAAACCAAAATAAAAGACGTTGAAGTTAGGGGGTTTGGCTGGGTGGTTCCTTGGGTTGCTTTCATCAGCCTTGTAAAATACATCGCTACTAGATAAGCGCCACTCAAAGGTGACGTTGATCGATGGGTGCCCTTCCATATCCATAGGGTATGGAGGAAGACCTTGGCTCCAACAAAAACAGGGGTGCTTCTGTGTAAATCTAGTTTCCTTTGCCTGCATTGCCTAAGCCTAAGACCCAAGAGCTTCTCTGACAAGGCAAACATACACACTTGTCGTTGTCCTTCGTCGGACCGATTGACAAGGCATCAGACCGTTTGCCTCTGATGGAGCTGCGTCGTAGTCTTCCACGATCTCTATCTGCAGAAGAACATGGCGGGACACAAGGATCTGTTGACATTTTGTTGATCCCTAACAAACGTACTCTAGGAAACATCTCAGGCTTGTTCTCCCGCCCATCCCAAGTCTCGACCACACACTACAGTAAGCCTTGGACTACAGTATATCTTACAGTGTTACAGCATCTCAAAGCTCAAGGGTTCCCCAAGCTTGGGCTAGACAAGTCAAGGACAAGTCACATTGGTGTGTCGCGCAATGAGATCGCGAAGTGCAGAATCGTTGCCTCAGGTGTGGAACTGACATGAATGCCACACTTGTGGGACTTCACTTGAAGCACACATTCGCTGGCTAATGAAGTAAGAATGCTGTTTGGCACTTAAGTCCTGAGGTTGATGTAAACCCTGCCAAGAACACGTCACCATCTTCAGCTACCTTCCAGCAACCCTGCAAGGCTCGGGCCTTGAACAAGCGTTGCTGGCTATGCCTTTTGCAAAGTCAGCAATGTCTACAAAAAGTACCAAAACAATCCAAAACATTAATTTGAACAGCTCTCGTTGCGCTTCCTACAACAGCAACGCTGTCATGATTGTGGCCGTCCACTACAGCAAGTGCGGCTCTGCGGCTACCAAATCGTTGAGCAGCCTTCCGGATGGCAACGGGGGCAGTTGCATGGGTGGCTGCAACAGTTGAAGTGGCACAGGATTCAGGTCCAGTGCCCACTTTGGTAAGTTTGGTGGGAAAGGGAATGTAAGGCAGGTGTTGTCTATAACTCTATACGATCACGCGCGCTCGAGATCCACGGGAAACGCAGACGAGCGTGTTGCTCGGCCGCAGGTCGAAGCAACTAAACAGGTCCCCACAAAAAGGCATGCATCAAAAGTCACAGACAGGGAGCTTCCACGATTCTAACTCGCGCCCAGCGCCTTTGGCGAACGCGCGTGCAATGAGCACTCGACAATCATCAGTGTGGAAAGGTGATGCTCCATCGATGCACCCCTGGGGCAACACCCTTCCACACGATCGAGGCTTGGCGGTGTTAAAAGTGCCAGCAAAGGCCTGAACATTGTCAAGCTTCGAGAGTTGGAGCATGACATCTCGTATGACCTTATAGATGTCGTAAAAAGTGAGGAACTGTAAATCACCGACAATGCGAAAGCCGGCGTTGTGGAAAGTGACTGCTAGCTCACAAAAACTGAAACTATCGTCAGGATCAAGCTTCCATCGTAACCCTGACAGAAATTTGCATACCTGAATCCAATTCTCTGGATGGCCTCGCCATCTGACAGGAGGCTCACATCCCTTCGGGATTTTTGGCTTCCAAGAGTAGTGGTTCTTGGGGAGGCCCCACGGCCATTGTCCAAAACGTGCCTGACAAACCTCTTTTGAGATCTCCTCCGGCATGGCAGAATCAATGTGATCTTGCGTGTGACAAGTCTCATGTGTAGGCAACAATGCATGCAAACGAATGAGCCAAGCTTGATGATCATGCACGGCTTGTTCTGCTGCAACCTGAATGTCCATTTGAACAGGCGATAACCGCTGAGCCAAAGCTTTGGCAGTGCGGTCGCAAAGCCGATTGTGAAGAATATGCTCAACTGTTGATCCAGCTGCAAACGCCAGATCATCTGTCAGCATTGTATCCGGTACCCGCTCAAGACAATGAGCGGGAATCCACGTGACAACAAACGGCTGCGGGCAATGTTGCTGACGGAGTGTAAGAACGGCAGCGAAAACTTTCCACCATTCAGAGCAGCTCCACGTCAAGTCAACAGAACCTCCCTGACAAATATGGTGGACACGTTGAACAACAGTGAGGCAGTCAGAAAAAATGTGCACTTTCGTTGTTGCTGTAATGCAGACCCATAAAACAGCCCAAAGCTCTGCCGTGTAGGCAGAAATCGACCAATGCGAAACAAGGCCTTGCTTTACGACTTGGCGATCCTCATTGACAACAGCAAAAGTAGCCGTCATGAGCCAAAACTTGTTCCCATGCACCAATGATCCGTCAGTCCAAAATCGTAAACATGTTTGACCGTCAAAATCCGGGGCGACAGGAAGGTCAGCTGCATGAGAAAAGTGAAGCCGCCTCTTGGCGATAAAGCGTGGATGTTCAACGTGACCTAACAGCTGGAAGTTCGCGCCCAATTCATCTTGAGCGGGTGGGCCAATGATGGCATGCAGCGCTGTACATTCGTAAACAAGGTGGTGCATGGATTCTTTATCAGACTGACAGAAACGACAGTCCGATGTGTCGGTCCAGCCCGATCCTGCAAGGCGATCATTGGTCAAAGTACAACCAACAAGAATGGATTCCAACCGGTATCGGTCCGCAATATCGCCTCCTTTGTGACGCAGTGGTAATTGCTTGAGAGCCGCAAGAGTCTGTTGGTAATCAAAGACCCTCTGTGTGGAGTGGAAGTCCTTGCGTTTGGTGTCACCAGTCGCTTTGTAGCAAGCATCACGTGTGATGTTGGCCAGCACCTTGGAGGCATCCTTAGCATTCAGCGAACACAACGGAACAGGTTGCGACCCACAAAAAGACAAGGCCAGACGGTCATCAATCTCGATACCTAATACGTCGGCGGCATTCTGCAATTGTGCAGCTAACGAGTGCACACCATGCGGGTTCATCCATGTACGTTTCAGCATCTCAAAGGTGTGTGGCATGGTGTGACACATGCGGATGGTTTCAACAACAGTGGAGAAGGCACAAGCATACTTGGGATCAGTCCGATGTGGGGCTGAAAGGACAGCTTGGAGCAAGTGTTTGGCTCTCCACTTGGGTCTACCAACCCAGAGGGCTCTGGCAATCGCATTCTGAATAGCCGTGCCAGCTCTTTTTGGAATTTTTGAGATGTGTGAACCAAAAGCGATTTGAGGAACAATTTTGGAACTAACCAAGAACACACGAATGTGGTGTGGCACAGGAAGAGCTGCAATGTTGTCCGTGTCCTCAAGAACTTTCCTTAATCGAGACTCCTCAAAGCAAAAGGATTGGCGATCAGAGACATACATCTTTGTACCCAGCACTTCGATTTCCAGTTTAACTGGATACTCAGGAAATGCGGCGCGAGTTTCTTGTCTGCCCTGAGAAGTGGTTGACCACATCGAGGATTTGCCAGCATTTAGCTTCTGGCCGACAAGTTTGTCCCACACTGCCGTCACCTCAAGCGCTTTTTGCAAAAGATGACTGTGCTCAAGTCGTGCCCAAAGGTAGGCGTCATCTATAAAGGCACGAACAAAAATTTCCGGGATGTGCTCAAGAAGGTGACACCATACCTTATTGTAGGCGTTCATCGCTAGTAGTGACAAAGAACAACCCTGTGCCACACCGTTAGCTGGGTGTGTAGCAAGAGGGCAAACCCATTTACGGTAGGACAGATGTCGGTGCAGACCTTGATACATCTTAAGGAATACACTCACAATCCCTTGTGGGATTCCAAAGGCCAA